ACGAATACGCGTCTCGGTCCCATTCCATGCAAATGTGAGCCAACGGACCCTGAAGATTATTGTCAGACGCGAGACGATCCAGAAAATGTAACTCGTAGCCTTTTAAAATGCATGGAACGGCATTCACAGCTCTTGTCGCGCGTTTCTACGTCGGGACCGAGGGTTTGCTGCCCGTCTGATAGGCCATCTCATGCCAGAGAGGGGTGTTTTCCATAGCGCTACGTGAACACCATTAAGGGATAGTCCCTGGCCTTATCTCCGGCTAGAATGGTCGAGTTGCGTATGCGTGACACGCGTCTCTAAGAATCCGGGCTACTTCGCTACCCAAAATCCACCGAATTGCACCCTTTTCTTCCCCCTCGTACTGTCTCTTCGCTTCTTCCTCTGTTTTTTCGAACATTTCTGTTCTTTGCCTAATGTATTTTCTTCCTTCATGTACCTTATCAAATCTATTATAAATTAAAGAGTTACCATGAAAATTAAAAAAAATGAATTTCTAATGTCAATAACGCGATTTCGAAGGTAATCTATACGTGTCTATGCTCCAGTTATACGTGCAATAGAAAAGAATTCTGAGACCGTGTTTGTTATTAATAATAACTAGTTTCGTGCATTATTTGGTTTGCAATAACGTCAAATATCCTCCTGGCCGTGTTTGCCGTGACTGCATGTAAATATTTAACTGCATTTCTCTGCAGATACTCCTTATGTGTCCCAATGGTACAGAATGCGACACGCTTATTGTTAATAAATGAATTGTGCGTTGTTTCGCTGTGAAAGTCACGCCGGAATGTTATACAACGCGCTCGCAATAATCACGGGAAGAGAAACGACCGGATGACGAAGATGACAATTAGTCCGGTGATTAATTTTAATAGATCGTTTGCGTCCACCGATGAATCTCTCAGGTGAAAAAGAGAAACATCCATTTGCTATCGTCAGCGTTCTTAAAAACTCGTCCGAATCTTGTTCCAGTATTATGTATGGAATTTTAAAAACATTTGGCGTTTGCACTGTTCGTTGAGTATCAAATATGTACCGAGCGTTTCATTGTAATTAATGCTGGCCATCGAGTCTAATATTAAACGGAAATCTGTCTGTTCTCTTGTTGCAGATTTAAACGGAAGCACTGAGAAACACCGACAGAGAAGTTGATGAATTTTCAATCTGTACTTACCTCTAAATGTTGACTCGCGAATTAGTAACGAAGCATGTACTTCTACAGGGTTGCTTGCACATTTTATTTGAAACAAAATGGCGAATAATTACCATTTCAAATGCTTCATAAAGAAACGAGAGAAATTTTTCGATTGTATTATTGAAAAATCAATATAAATGTTGGAAATTTATAAAAATACGTTCACCTCAAATGTAGCATTTCAAGCTATTTTACGTTAAAAAAATCTCGATATTATTGCAATGAAAGGGGAATATCAAAGGGTTAAACCCTTCGAAACTTACACAGGGTGTTCGGCCACCTCTAGGAAAAATTTTAGTGGTAGATTCTAGAGACCAAAATAAGACAAAAATCAGGAATACCAATTTGTTAATCGAGGCTTCGTTAAAAAGTTATTAACGTTTAAAATTAGGCCCGTACTGAATTTTTTTCTCGAAAGTGCGTAGGATTTCGGGGGAATATGTATTCACCAAAAATGGTTGTATTTGACCCCAGAACCTAGAAATAATTTTTTCAACTCGATTTGAAAAATTGTTTTTTCGCTGTCAATTTAGTCACCCATTCGAATTTTTTTCTTGAAAGTGCGTAGGATTTCGAGGGTATATCTAATGACCAAAAATGATTGTAATTGGCCCCCAAAAGTGAAAATAATTTTTCCAGATCGATTTGGAAAAATTTATTTTCTCCGAATTTGGGCACCTAAAAAAATCTTTAAAAATAATTCTTTTAAGCCGATTTCAAATTCATACAACGAGTGAAATACATATTTTAATACAAAATCAGCTAATATTCGATGACTGATATGAAACGACACAAGAGCTGCTCTTGAATTTACATAATAAACGTGGAAATTCTATGGAAATTCTACCCGTAATTTCTTCTTCCAATATGTCGTAAATTGCACGTTGTACGATGAATATACATAATTGTATTAATCGTACGAGCTTATTAACTAATGAGAGCAACGTTATCTATCTTCTTTGTAACTCAACGCACGAAATGAAACGATCTTTTTGCGTGGAATTAATGACTACTTCTATCGAAAGTATAACAAGTATAATTGTTATTTTTAAAGCGTCGAATCTTGAGTAAAATTTAGTGTTTCGGTGGATAGACCGAAATTAATATTCGAACAGCATGGTATTCCGGTAGATTATTGATTCACATACAGAGTGTCCCAGTAATTGTGGTACAACCGACAGAAGGGGGAATCCTGCATAAAAAATAAGTCGAAAAAATGGAATAAAATTGTTTCGTTCGAAGCCTTGTTTTCGAGAAAATCGACTTTGAAAGTTCATCGGATATGCATGCAATAGAGCATGACCATTAGCTATTAGCATAAGTAGAAGTAGTGAGTAATGGACGGACGCGTCAGGCATATCGTATTTAATCGCTCGCGTACCTGAACAATTTTCTAATTCAATTATCTCGAAAACGAAGCCACCGAAAACAACTTCATTCCACGTTTTCGACTGATATTTTTATGCATTTTTAATTTCTCTGTAATTTATACCCCGCAAAAATATCTGGACACTTTAGAAAATATACTGTGATATAAAATATTACGTAACATTCGCACAGTATATTCCCCAAAGTGTCCAAATATTTTTGCAACGTATAAATTACAGATTACTCTGTTTGCTGATCATTATGTGAATCATAAATGATAAAAATTTCTTTCCTCTGCAATAAAATTATAATACAGTCTTTTGTCGAGTATACTGTTTGGTTAATAAGACGTCCTAAACGCTTAGACACGTCAGACGTGAATCTGAGTAAATAATTTTGTGAATCACGCTCCCATTCTTCTGTCAGACGTATTTTTGGTTCTCCCTTTGTTTTTCTGACTGGTTTTCGAACGATGTAATCCAATAAATTCCCTAGACTCTCTGCAGAATTTAAATCCAGCGATTGTGGAGTCAGACGCGATACTTTTCAGCAGGAATATAATAGATATTCCTGAACAATTCGTGACATTTTTTTTTTATTATTATTTTTGTTAAATTTAAAAGTATCACGCGCGTAGCACTTTCCATTAAATGTTTTTCCAGTCAAATAATTTTTAACTTTTTTTACTCGATGTTAAATATCATAATAATGATTCTTTTTGTTTTAATATGATTACGCTTATTTTGGGAATTACTCGGTATAATACGAACTCGTGTTTAAAAAACAATTAATTCTTAAGTTGAAATGTTAAAGAAAATAATTTTTAAAAGACTTCATAAATTTTAATGAGGTCACGAAAGACCAACTTTTGAGTTGCGTAGTTTGCAATTGACTAAAATCAAAGTTTTGGTTCAAGACAGAATGCGTTCGTTTTAATGTACCATCAATTATTTAGTCGATTTCATGCTCCGCGTACGAAACAAACGAATTCAATCATCAGGTTTCTCCAAACGAGGCCCGAAGCAAAAATCATCGTCGCTGTCGAACAGGCACCGATAATTAGTTACTGCCGCTAAAAATGCAGGCAATCGGTTCGGAACTTTTTCCAGTCCAGTGGAGGGGAACCGAGGCTTCCGGGAAGTTTCCCAATTTCTGTTTCGTTCGAAAGTTGATTCCGTTTGCGCGGCGTTTTCTGCGCGGCTTTCAAACGGCCGAATTACGCGCGTGCAGCGCAATTACGCGTACGCGTTAACGAGATTTACGAGCAGATATATTTTTAATTGGTAACTAATCGTTATTACTTCCCAACAGCAGCCACACTTTGCCTATCGGGGCGTTCACTAATTTTTAATGCAATTCCGAATCGTTCAAAATCTACGGTAAAAATATCAAATTTTTACGTTTCTCAGGGAACAGAAATTTTCATTTCACAACTTCGTATTTTATCTTGTGTGTCGAAATGGAATTTTATTATTTTATACTTAGAATTTTGAGCAATTTATAGACAACATAACACGATTCATTATTTTCGTAATTTACTACATTTACTAATTTTTATTGCAATTTTGAATCGTTCAAAACCTACGGTAAAAATATCAAATTTTTACGTTTCTCAGGGAACAGAAATTTTCATTTCACAACTTCGTATTTTATCCTGTTTATCAAAATAGAATTTTATTATTTTATACTTAGAATTTTAAGCAATTCACAGCAGACATAACGCGATTATTTTCGTAATTAGTGGACGAATCAGACACTTTCATAAATATAAAGTGTGGTTTATAAGAATTATTTTCTTTATGATGCATATATTATATTACATAATTTTTTTTTATAATTTTAGCGCTTCGAAGATGGCCAAACGTTAAGATAAATAAACGCAATTATTATTTCGCAAAAGATACACTCTAAGAGTCAAATAATTTAAATCTTGACTCCGCATTGATTTTACGCGTACTTGGAACAACGAGATACATAAATTTCCTTCGTTGATAACTTCGTATTATATCATGATTTAATACTTGTTTGGATCAGAGTATAATACGGAACGTCAGTTAATTTACAACGTATGAATGTACGACGGTGACGCGAATCAAGTCATAAATACAATTCACAGGGAAGGGAAAAACTGACAGGAAACACGACAGGTGATAAATATAATGTACCACGGGTTATAAGGAGCTACAAACTAGCGAATTGTAATTGGAATTCGTCTCGTGTACGCCCTTTCAATCTCGGTATCTTACCGGATATCCGACATAACGTGTTTCCAATGAAACCTACATTTTTCAGTCAATAAATCGAACACGGTACAATTCCATTTGCGTTATACTTTGTTTCGTACCTTCTAATAATTATTATATAATTTTATCGCATTAATTGTATCGTTATAGAGCGTGGGTTAATTTTTCTTTCCCCTTTTGTTCGATTTCAGGAAGAATAGTTCAACCCTAGAGAAGTTCCATTTGCAAATCTCCAGAGCGGAACTGTACCCGTTGGACTCGAAATACGTGGACCAATTGTTGCACGAAATCGCGACGAGGCCTATCGTTCATGTTGGTAAGCGTTTTTTTGATCTTTTACTTTTAACTTTTTCACGATTCGTTGAGAAACTAGATCGCTTCTTAAACGCATACGAATTTAAATTAAACGGGGAACATTTACATATATCGCGGTATTTTTTATTAGAAATTCTAGCGCTGTTCACAATATTCACAGTTTCCTTTTCTTTTTCGCGAGGAATTAAAATCTCTTCGTGTTATTTTTTAACCTTCGCGCAGCGGCCTTCGACTTTAATCCGCGCGACGTTAAAATTTATTCGCCTTCGTTGCAAGGTCTGACAATGTTTTCCCACTCGGCTAGGGAATTATTCTATCGCAAATTAGAATTCTGCTCAGAAACTACTATCTGTTGAGGTGTTCTATACACGCAAAGTTTATAAAAAAGTTTCTTTCGAAGAACATTCTTCGAACTTTCGGGTTAGTGCAGGTAAATAAATTATAAAATACAGGGTGTTCAGCCACCCCTGGGAAAAATTTTAGCGGTAGATTCTAGGGGCCAAACTAAGACGAAAATCAAGAATACCAATTTGTTGATTAGGGCTTTGTTAAAAAGTTATTAACGTTTAAAGTTCAGCCTGTTCTGAATTTTTTTCTCGAAAATGCGCAGGATTTTTGGGCTATGTCTATTCACCAAAATTGATTGTAATTGTCCCCCCTAAACGAACATAATTTTTCCAAGACGATTCGAAATTCTTTTTTTTCACCCAAAACTTTCAGCACTTGCTCGAATTTTTTTCTCGAAACTGCGTAGGATTTCGGAGGTATATCTATTCACCAAAAATGATTGTAATTGACCCCCCTAAACGAACATAATTTTTCCAAGACGATTCGAAATTCTTTTTTTTCACCCAAAACTTTCAGCACTTGCTCGAATTTTTTTCTCGAAACTGCGTAGGATTTCTGGGGTATGTCTATTCACCAAAAATAATTATAATTGACTCCTTCAACTGAAAATATTTTTTCCAGAAGGATTTGAAATTTTTTAATTTCGTCGAAAAATTTCACCACTTTCCTGAATTTTTTTCTCGAAATTGCGTAGGATTTCGGGGGTATGTGTATTCACCAAAAATGCTTGTAATTAACCCCTGCAACCGAAAATAATTTTTCCAGAAGGATTTGAAATTTTTTAATTTCATTTTTTAATAACTTTTTAACGAAACCTCAGTCAAGAAATTGATATTCTTGATTTTCGTCTTATTTTGGCCTCCAGAATCGCCAATTAAAATTTTTCCCAGGGGTAGCCAAACATCCTGTATACAAATACCATGTTTGGTGAATAAAGACCAAAAAATGATCAGTCAATGCAACGAAATATTATCTATAGAAGTGTACTATACACACAAAGTTCATAAAAAAGTTCGTGTACCTAAAATATTGAGAGAAAAATATTTCAAACTTTCCTCTTGATATAGGAAAATAAATTTCAAAATATGATACATACAAATATCATTTTTAGTCGAAACGAAGCTCGCATAATTAACACAAGCCTCAATAAAAATTAATATTCCTGGATTCCAGTCGCGTTATATTAAAATACAGTCTTTCTTTGAATATACAGGATGTTTCAAAAGTACATGTAATCACTCGAAGAATCTACGCACTGAAATAATAAAAAAAATTGTTCTATGAAGAAATGAAAGGTAAAATAATAATTATTATATTAGAGCTGATTGGGAATTTCAGCAGTTTCGTTCGAGACCTGGTTTCTCAGTAGAATCGGGCGCCGCTGGTCAGACGTTCTATCGCTACGCAATGCATAACAATCGAAATTCTTGGGCGGTCGCTGTCGAACTCCTTCCACTCGGGTATTACAGCGATCGAACATGCTGTAATATAAATTTTCGAGCGACAGTGCACGCAAATCGTGCTCGGAATTTTTCCTTGGGCGAAGTAATGGATGATAAGCCCCGGCCACCGTACGTGGACCTTTATTAAATTTTACGTGGCTCACAGTAAATTGACTTTTTCGAGAGGTCTTCGAACCATTTGACGTACCACGGGTTCGTCGATTTTCCCTAAAATTAATTTCCTTCGACGAACAACGACAGCTTTGTTCCTATCTTTTCTATTTACATTACAGAAAATAGACTGTTTCATTTGAATATTGAATATTCGAATCGACGTACCACAAGATCGTCGATTTTCCCTAAAATTAAAATAAAAAAATTAGTTTTGCTCCTGTCTTTTGTATTTATATTACAAAAAATAGAATGTTTAGGCAGCTACCCCCTTGTCGATTTTTCTTAGAAATTCGTTTTTCATTTTTAATAATTTTGTTTGACGCCCTATAGAAAAGTTGTCTAATACCTTCTTGTAGGTATCGATAAGTTCTACTTCAGAAAAAAGTTTCATTGAAATATATTCACTATTGTAGGAGTTATGGCTGCTTGAAAATTGGACCATTTTTATGGGGTTTTTCTCACTTTACGGGGTTAAGGAATAACTTTTTGAATATTTTTGGAATTTCTGCATATTCTCTACCTAAATACGCATTGTTTGCCGTTTGGAACATTAAAATCCGCCAATCCGTTCAGGAGTTATGATTTTTTAAAGATTCGCATGAAACTTCAGGGGAATCGGAATGTCCGAGTCAGACATTGTATTTTCAGTAAGGAATTTTTTTCTCGAAAAGGGTTAGGATTTCGGGGGTATGTCTATTGACCAAAAACGACTCTACTCGACTCCTGCAACTGAAAATAATTTTTTTAGACCAATTGGAAATTTTTTAATTTTATCAAAAAATTTCACCACCTACCCGAATTTTTTTCTCGAAACTCGGTAAGATTTCAGGGATATGTGTAATGACCAAAAATGATTGTAATCGACCCTTGCAACCGAGAATAATTTTTTTAGAAAGATTTGAAACTTTTTAATTTAATTTTTTAATAATTTTTTATTAAAACCTTAGTCAAAAATTGATATTCTTGATTTTCGTCTTATTTTGGGCCATCACCCTGTATAATTATATAAATTTGAACATTTTCAATAGAACCAAGATACTGAATTTGTCGCGTGTGTCCAGCTTTCCCGTCCGCGACACGTTTCATTAACAGAACTGCAACAGAACGTATGGAATGTAACAGTGACGGTAACGGAACCGTCGCAACAAATGAAACGAACAATGAGAATTAGACGCGGAGGCATAAAATTAATTTGGAAACGGCGCCGTAATAATCTTCCGCGTTGAAATTAATTCCTCTACGGCCCATGAAGCTAGTCAATTAACCGGTGTTATTGTGACCGTGGATTTGTGCTTAGTAATTACCGCGACGCGGTTTATTGACCAACAATGCAACGATCGTACGAATCGAAAGAGAGAACGAGCGAAACGGATTGTTCCTGGTCTCAGAACCGTAACGTTTTAAAATTAGTTCTGGCATCGACGTACCACGCGTAATTTTCGATCGTTCGCTCATGGTCGCTCGTCCAATAATCGCTTCTATTTGATAGTAAAACTGAACAATCTCCAAACAATGGTATCATCTAATTCATCTAATTTTTGTCTTGCAAATTAAAGCTCCATTCTATTCAACAGTCTTTTATTTCATTTGTTATAATTATACATTTTTGAAACAAGTAACTATAGTCCAGTTTAACATGTAAACTCCTATTAATATTAATAACAAACTTTACGTTATAAGTGATTGATATTTCTGTACGAAAACAGTGTTCACTCTGTATATTTTCCTTAAATAATCTACGATACAAAATTATCAAATTTAGTCATATCCTGATCAGTAAAATATAATACTTATGTCTCGTCACTCTTCTAAAGATGATCACAAAATTCATTCTGATACTGGTAACAGCAAAAAAACATCTTTTTGAAAAAGAAATATCAGTGGACAGTCGGACAAACGAAAACGAGACAGCAATTCCGCGCCTAGAAGTAAACATGTTTGATTACGGACTTCAGTAGAATAGACTATCGTTGATCAGCCCTCCATCGATACAGTGGATCCTGATGGAAAATATGGAAATCATATTCGCGATAGCATTTTGTTTGCGCAAGCTCCGCCCGTGTTGGTATCGCGAATTTCAAACGGAATATTAAATTTTAATCAAACGAATACCGTAGTTCGATCTGTACAATACAAAAATGGAAAAAACGGAGGGGTGGAGGGGGAAGACAAAAGTTTCGACGACATTGTTCGATACAATTTGATGAATTACAATAGAGCTCGCGGATTCTGTGGGTGACACTCCCGAATAAAATGATATCTATGGATTATTCGGATCGAAAACTTGTCGAACGAGAAGTACCTGGCCTGAGGTATAGATGGCGATTATTGTTTAAAAAAAATGACTATGGTTGAGTGACAGAATGAAGGAAAAATGGCCGCATTTGGCGAAAAAGAAAGTGTTGTTTCACCAGTTCACACATCCGTTATTGCGATGGCCAAAATTCAGAAGTTAAAGTTCGAATTGCTCCCTCGCGCACCCTATTCGCTAGACTTAGCCCCCTCAAGTTATTTTCTATTTCCAAACTTGAAAAAATGGCTCGATCGTAAAAGATTTTCCAATAATGAAGAGGTGGAGTCTGCGGTTGATGGCTATTTTGAGGAATTCGATGGTTCCCGCTATAAACAGGGTATCGAAGCTATTGAACACAGCTGGGAAAAGTGTACCCAGCTAAAAGGAAATCATGTTGAAAAATATTTGTCCCCTTTCTTGTTTTTTTTTGTTAGGTCAGGTACTTGTGGGAAAATCCTCGTAAAGCAGCGCGCGATTCGAATTTAAACAACTTCCCGTGGATCCGGGGAGCTGGTAATACGGGTCGAAAGGCGAGGTATCTGTTGATTTCTTCGATCCGTAGAAAATTCCGTCGGATAGACGGGATCGGTGTAATTTCGATTACATTTAGTCGTTGAGCGACAGTTTGTTAAACAAATAGCAAGGCCAGCGTAGGGTCGAGTGGCAGCGGAACGAAGTTAAATCAGCGCCAAGGAGTCCCCCCCCCCGGCTGCCGCGGATGCAATTATTAAGCAGTATCGAACTGCCGTAGGAAATTAGATCGTCGATCAAAAGGGAGGATAGGGCGGAGATGGTTCCCCGGGCATCTCGGTGACAAAGGAGGTCGATCCAAGTTGCTAAACAATAATTAAATTGAGCGGAGAGGGCGCCGCCATTCGATTCCCAGCGAGCTGATTTCGATACGTAATCACGGTCCACGAAATTAAACGTTTAATCGGCTAGAAATCTCCGCCCTGGCCTCCTAAAAGTTGCCAGCAGAATTCAATTCGTACGGAACCCTTTTGCTTAAGAAATTCTTCGTTTCGGGCTAGCAATTGCTTTCAAACGACAAGAAAATGGATTGTTTGGTCGTTGGGGTATGTAAGCGTCTTTTCGAGACGAAATCTGGTAAAAAGAATGCCCTCTGTTAAAATTTCTTCCATTTTACTACAAATGGAAATAGTAGTTTTTATTTAAAAAAGTATTCGAGACATTTGTTGAGTTTGGAAACGAACACACTGTATGTAAAGCTAATATGAAAATTGGGAGACATTTTGAACGAAATAAACAATTGATTATTTTATTTGATTTCATGTATCGTTGATGAATAAAATTATTTAATTATTTACTTAAAATAATTTTCTCAGGTTATATAAGTTCATATATAAATTTATTAATATTAATGAGTATATACGTGTGTACAGTTTGGAATGTGTTGCTCAAGAATGTTATTGAAATTAAATTCCAGAATATGGTTCGTAGTGCAATATAATCTTTTAAAAAATCGATGGAAGAAAGTTATGGGAGAGGTCAGTGTGCTGGCGTTAGAAAAGTTGGAGAATTTTCTTAGGTTGTCTCGTATATTGAAACGTTCGTAGGAAATACGACTTCGGTGTCTGCTCGGTCTCTAACAATAAGCTTTGCGTTTATAAGAAATGGCGATTTTGCACGTGCCGGTAACGCGAATTCCGTGCACTCTGTAAGACCTTTTACGTTTGCTAATTTTACCGATCTCGCTGGTTCTATTAAGTGTAGTTCCTCAGAGTCAGTGTCCTTTAAACGTGAAGATCAATCTAAAACCATTGACTCTTTTATGAGGTGAATATTTCAGATGATGTGGCACTAAATCTTGAAATCCTCCGTGTTTGGATTCTTTATTAATACCAAAGATAACGACCCTAGATATACGTATCCTTATTTTCAAAATTTCAGCTCGAAAACATTAATTTTGACGTTTCAAAGGGACGAACTTCTTTTCAAGATATTCACGTTCACTACGAAGTACTCATAATTTGTGTGAAAAATAGTGTCCAGATGCAAATAAAGAAACCTCGATAATAAATATCAATTAAATTTTGATTTTAACATTCTGCATTAAAATCGAGCGTTATTTATTATATTAATCTGAACTCCCTTTTTCCCCCAAGTGACCTTACAACATTACGCGAGTTCAAGGCAAAGTTTCCATTCGATCGGTTCCGAACATCGATGGATGTTCGCGTAAAATGTCAGCGTTCTTAAATATCCCATTATCCCGGCGCATGTTCGCGTCGATCTAAAATTGTTTTAGAAAATAAGTTCCGCGACAAACAAGCTCTTGCACAATGGTAACACGCTCGACAGAGAACTTTGCCTTTCTCTTAGTTGCGTAACGACGCGTTCCATATTTCAATGTTAATTTTAATTATAACTCTCGTTTCTGACTTTGCCTCTTGAACATGCGCTTTTAACGTTATCTCTGATAACTGGCGACACGAATACTCGTTTAGAAGCGTCCATTTTAGATAATCGAGAAAATAATTAGTCGTACAAAGTTTTTATGGAAATAAAGATAAAATAATAGATAAGTAGAAAAACACCGTTGAAATTATCCGGATAAATGGTTTGGAATTATTTTGCAGTTTTGTAGTTTCGACCCTGGCGGAATGACTTGGATTTTCAACACAGAAAATAATTTATTACTATTACCATGTAAATAGTGTTTTGTTTCGTTTAGAGTTTTTATTTGGATCAAGATTTTGCCCAACTGCGGGTGTTGGGCATTCAGGTGTAAGTAGTTCGAGTCAATAACTTTGGCGACACGACAGGAGAGCGACGATTAATTATTGTCCTTTATGATAAATTGACCTCGAGTAACCCGCGCGGCTGGTACGTAAATTAGGCATATATCATTTATGATATTGACACAGTGGGCGACGAACGATCGATATACCTCCGTGCGTCTCTGTCAAGAATTTTTTTCCACGCCAACTTGCCGCGAGCTGCGCGATTTTTCATTATCGCGAAACCGTGCAACTATTTTATTCGCAAGCTTCGAGACCGTCGAGCTCGTATTTTTATTATCAATTCTCTGGGAAACATTTGCCCGCCGAATGCTGCAATTTTTAATTCATTAAAGAATTCTATCGTTCGACGAAAGATCGATGAAAGCAAAATAATCCGGTGTTTTTCGCAATGTTATCCAACCGTTGCTGAATTTCGCTCGCGAAGAATAACTGGCGGCAATTGTCATCGACAACGACGACGACGGTAATAAATGCAATAATTTCCAGTTGAAAAATGGGATCGTTGGCTCGCTCGAAGCGATTTCGATCTCGAGCCGAAGCCAGCGAGGATCCATCGATCGCGTTGAATAAATATAAACAGTGGCGGGTTCGACCCCGTAACTTGCATTTGGCGCAAATATTGTCGCTCGAAACCGGGGATTGCTGTAAAACGATGAAAATACAGAAGGAGTCGGGTCGAACGACGCTCAAACAGCGAAGGGGGGTTGGTCGAAACCGAATCGGTGCTCGGCAGACGGACTTTTCTGATTATTGCTCGGTATCTGCATACGCGGCAAGTGCAATTAAGCGCGGCTTAATCGTGCCGGGACGAATTGAATCGAAAATGCCGCTTGTTCCGACTCCGTCAGACCGAGAAAATCGAGCCGGAAAACTACTCCTAAGCAATTTGCGTGTTCCGGTCGCTCGGCCGGATAATCGCGCCTTTATTTCCACGAAACTGGAGAGTAAACAACCCCTGTTTTACCATTTTTGTTTTCAGCTCAGAAAGAAGGCGGCACGCAGCTGAAGCTCGAGATAAACTATTCGTACATGCAGGCGCTGTTCAAACCTATGAGGTGAGTGCAATTAAATTCCCCGAACAAAGAATTACCCAGAGTTTCGAGCAGGGGAGCACCGCCAACAAATAGGACGTTACGATTATAAGAACTGTAAATCTTTCTATAATTAACTATAATATTTTTCACTCTAAATGTGCATACTTAGTATTTTAAAATTTCAAGGTAGTTTGTAAATTTTCTGCACGAAGTTATAGTTTTCATAAGATAGAGCTCTTGAGAATGAATTTTGTTTCAAGTCGATATCGTAGTTTATTCCGGAGAAAACAATTATTTACGATAAAATGCTGGCTAGTAACTACGCAAACATCCTGTATAGGAATTTAAATTCACTAAATAAACAATTTATAGTCTAGTTTTATCGCACACCAATCATATAATTGCAGAATCTTCTTTAGGTGCATAGAGTCAAAGTAAATTCGAAATAAAACATAGAAGATAGCCTAAATTATAGTAGTTAATATAGTCATATGATAGGGGATGAAATGCCCTTTAAAATGAGCGTTTGTACGAGTCGATAGCTTTATTAGTTCCGGAGATATAGCGATTTTAGTTTCAAGTCGATGCGGTGGCTAGTTTCGGAGATATGAGGGTCCGAAGCGTTTGTTTACATTCTTACTAAGGTCATTGACCGCACGTGCACTCGGTCAACGCGCGACAAGGAGGTCCGACGCGATGCATTAGACGGAGACAGCGATAGTCGAATTAAGAAAAACTACCTTTTACATAAATTACGATATCTCCGAAACGGAAAGTCCGATCGTCAAAAACCAAAAGCCATTTTAAAGGGGAGACCTTACCGCTTCTAACAGTGGTTCAATTTTATATAAATCACCAGTAGTTTCGGAACTACACGCGTCTAAAGTTTATCTATTTTTAATACGCGTTGTTAGACTGTTCTAAGGCAGTGGAAGCTGAAGATTCTCTACTTGCCTGTTTTGTACAATCTTTTATAACAAAATATGAATCGTTCAACCTGTCGTAGTAGGCAGACTACATATTTTTCTCAAAAAGCAAACAATAAAAATATAATAATAAATTCATTGTACGTATATTACAAGAAAAATGGTGAGGTTAAATGACGCTAAAGTAACACTGTACGTTAGAAATTCTAAACGAAATTTAAAAAACGCTCGTTCGTAGGTTTACTGTTAAAACAACGAGATAAGTATCGGGGTATAAACTTTTAAAACTGTTCTTTTACCCCCGATGTTTGGTTTCTTAAGTACGAGTGTATCTACTCGGTTAATCAAAGGAGCCAGGAGTTTCTTGAAAGCTGCCGCTTATCTCTGCTAAACGCATGAGTTATAACTGACGTTTAGAGAACCGAGTGCACTGCTTAGTGTTACAAATGAAGGTGTAAAACTTCGTGGACGAAGATAGGAGGGAAAACTTTTGTAGTTTGGAGCAGGGTTTACCTTAAATTATTTTGACGGTAATCAAATCTGCTAGACCCGTTCCGGGGACGTGATAAAATCGAGAAACAGCGTAGAATTCGGTCAACTTGTTAGACGAGTCGATGTTGGTTTAAGGGATTGAGGATTTATTTAATCGTTAAACTAGCGCGAACACTTTCGTACAAGTTGCACCGCTCGAATACCGAGTCCGCGTTGTCCAAACTTAACGAACAACTCTCTTTTATTTGAATAAATAGTAATTTTCAACTTTTCTAAATACGATTATAAAAGACAACCTTCTTTAAGAAAAAGTCTACTCTTATATTTCGTTGTAGATACTTTCTGTGGTGCTTCATTTCACAGGTATGTTATAATATTTACGGGCAACGCAGACGTCTGATGCAATTAGGAGCAACTCGTAGGAAATTGGAGTAGAAATCGGACTTCCGGTCTCCACGAATGACTACGCAGCCGGGCCACCGGTGCATAGATAGGGCCAGAAAGTTTCGTATCTCGAACTCGCAGCCAGCGAGAAATTACTTCAACAGTTTGTCCGTGACGTCACGACGCCTCGCGTCGCGAAATCCCGCAAGACTCGCGTTGACTCACGCTCGTACATTCGCCACGATAACAATCGGGAATTTAACGTTGAAACATTGGTCCCTTCCAGTTGGAAGCGCTATTTACTTTATTCGAAGCTTCGAAAAGTTGGCTAAATCCAAAAAATTTGATTCGCTTATTCGAGTAGGCTACCCTCTCGTGTTAAATAATAGCAAGTAAAATATAGTTGAAACCCATTTGTTCCTTTAAAACTTTTATTAATCAAATGTCACTGCTGAAAGTTGAAACTTTTTACAGAATTAAAAGTTTAAACTGTTGACAGATTCATTATGGAACTGAAACAATTAATTCTAATTTATGTGATTTACAATTGTCCAGAATGAGAGTTCTGGTCTCGTAAAAAAATTTTAAGGTTCTCGTCCGACAGTGGACGCGTTGAAACAGAAAAAGAAAGTCCGTGGAAGTTAAAAGTTCACCAGATTACCTTTATTTGTGAAAGTTCGCAGTTTCGTTCGGGCTCCGATTCAAACTGTATCGATGTTTCCTCGAAAGACACGTCGAAGTTGTTTCGTTCGACGAGTGGCGCGCACACCCACCCGAGGGAGAAATAAGCGACGCATCCAAAACGATCACCACCCTCGACACTCGTTCCCGCCAGGTCTTCGCGAAAGCGTTTCTGGGTCTCAGACAATAGGAGGATGTGACGTATCGCGTTTTCTGGAGGGAGAAAGAGAGAACGGACAATGATAATTGAGTAGAAGAGGCAAGGACAGTTCGAGTGGCTCTCTCACGGCACGAGGCACTTGGGCCTCCACTTATGTAATTGTGCTCGTAATCCCATCCACATAACTTCGTCAGCCCCGGTGCCGGGTAAAACCGCAGACTTCGCTGCGTGACGGGAGATGCTTGGGGTGAAAAAAACAGAGATAGACGTCGCGGTAATTTCGTAATTTCAAACCGATCGACCAACACTCTTCTCGACATTTTCCCATTTTTTTATCCCCTCGAAGTTTAATTTTATCTTCGCCTTTGGATCCCTGGAATTTAATTAGAAATATCGGAACAAAGTCGAATTACATATTGATATCAAAATTATTATCGAGTTCGTTCTGATTAAAAACGTACATTGGATATTACAAATACTTTGAATTATAAATATTATATTTTACTGAGATTCTAGAGACCAAAATAAGACGAAAATCAAGGATACCAATTTGTTGATCGAGGCTTCGTTAAAAAGTTATTGACGTTTAAAGTTGCGCCTGTAGATAGGCAACCTGCGTGCAGCTGCGTGCGCGCGATAGTGGTTCTCACTCAGCATGAGAAGCTCTACAAGTAGTGATATATCGACAGCTTTACAAGTTTTCTGAGTGAGAATCACTGTCACGCCTATGCAGCTGTTCGCAGATTGCCGTTCAAGGGGTCGGTCGAGCGCTTGTGAGAGCGCGATCCCTCTGGTGATGAGCGTGGGAGGCGACGCCACAGAACTTTGAACGTTAATAACGTTTTAACGAAGCCTCGATCAACAAATTGGTATTCTTGATTTTCGTTTTATTTTGCCCTCTAGAACACTCTGTATATGATAAAAATATAGTAGCTGAGAGTTACCTAATATAAAAGAGAAACTGTTACAATTTTAGTGTTAAAATTGTTCGAAACGCTCGGCTGGTAGGAAATTTCGATCGAACCGCGATCCACGCGTCTCGACTACGTCGGCCCTCGGCGTCTCGAATCGTTCGGAACGAGTTACGGGGCAGTAACGGTACAGGGTACCGGAAGAACGGGACCTGAAAGACGGGAATAAAGTAGAGACAACGTAATATCCCGAAGTGGAGAGAAAATTCGAGACAAGCGAGGGTGGCCGGGACCGCTTATTGCATCTCTTTTTATCTGCCCTGCACCTTCGACCCTTTCGAATCCCTCTGGTGCACACATTTGCCCCTTTAAACTTCCGGTTGGCCGAAGATTCCGCGATAAGTGGCCGAGGCCGGCTTAAACTCCGGTAATAAGTTCGGCAATAAGTTCCATGGAAAGTTTCCGGCCTCGACCACCGCCCCTATACCCACAGAGGGAGAAAGAGAGTATTCCTGGGCGAAATTGCGAGCGTCCCGACGCCACCAATCCCGCAATAAGCTCTCGTTACACGTTAAGGAGGACACCTCTTTTCCTCCTTTCGAAACGAACAAGTCATGGCTTTTCTTTTTCCCCGTTGCGGTGGCGAACCCTCCTCCCGGACGCTAAGATTCATTGAATGGACAATTTTTCGCAAACGCTCCCACTCGGGAAATTATTTCTTCGTAGATCTTTTTATCGGCCCCTCCCTTGAAGGCTCTTTGATTGCGGACGTTGCCTCTGCTCACCGAGTGTCCCGAAGTGCCACCCTTATTTCTCCTTTTTCGCTCATTTTTGGTCGTTCGTGGATGGTACGCTTTTTCGTTTTGTCGCGGAGGAAGAAGTAATTTACCCTTTATATAACTCATATACGATAAATCCCGCTTTCGAGCGACGGAATCGGTACACCGTTATTTTTATCGCGAGATAAAATTCGTAATGCGAATGGAATACAGTAATGTACCTCTTGGTTTTCAAACATTTTTTTATGGAGAAAACGAGGTGAGATAGCAGGAGGAAAGAAAAGAAAAGGGTGGTCGAGTACTTGCGAGAAAGCGAAGCCCTCTGCTGGTGAGCGCGGGAACTGTCGTCACTCTTATTTATAAAAAAGAAGAATATTAAAAACTAACCAGTTTTAGCCATTTTCATATACTTTTTGTTTGTCATTATTACTGAGAGTCGTAAATCATAATAACTAATTTCACCGTGATATGCAGTGTTATTCATTCCCATTCCCTGCCATAAATTTAAAGAAACTAGCATTCCACGCACGTTGCACTTCCTCTACTAATTAAATAAATAATTTATTTCTATCATAAAGTACTCCATTCTCTCATATCATGATGTAAACAAAAAATAATACTCAGAATCTTGTAATTACGTTAAAAATAACAGTTACGTGTCTTCGAGTATTCCCAAAATTATGCCCAG